AGGAGGAGGGGAGGACGTGGGGGGGGGGTGTAAAGCATGTCAGTACAAGTAAACAGAAATGAAAAGTACAACACAACTGTCAAGAATACACAGTGTGTGAAGAGACCAAGCCAAACCTGAAAAAACAAACACAATCACAAATAATTAGATTTCTTTCTATATATGGAGATAAGAAGTCTCCACCAGGAGGAAAACCAGGCAGAGGAACCTGAAAACCCTCCTTCAGTGATACTTCAATGCACTTGCTTTTAAACAGATGCGACCCAAGTGTGGTTACATCTGTCAAAACATTTTATTCCTAACTGCCTGGGTTTGTTGGGCAGGACGGGAGCTGTACAGCATCACACTGAGATCCTCTGTCTGAGGGAGGGCTGTCAGCAACACAGGAGGCAACAACAACCCAGGCAGCAGCAACAACACAGGCAGCAGCAACAACACAGGCAGCAACGCAGGCAGCAACACAGGCAGCAACACAGGCAGCAGCAACAACACAGGCAGCAACAACACAAGCAGCAGCAACAACACAGGCAGCAGCAACAACACAGGCAGCAACGCAGGCAGCAACACAGGCAGCAACACAGACAGCAGCAGCAGCAGCAGCAGCAGTAGCAGCAGCAGCAGCAGTACTGTAGCTGTAGCAGCAGCAGCAGCAGTACTGTAGCAGCCGCAGTACTGTAGCAGCAGCAGTACTGTAGCAGCAGCAGCAGCAGCAGTACCAGAGCTGCAGCAGCAGCAGCAGCAGCAGCAGTAGCAGCCGCACTGTAGCAGCAGCAGCAGCAGCAGTACTGTAGCAGCAGCAGCAGCAGTACTGTCCACTGTGGGTGCCAGCAGTCCACCAGTGTGGCTTTAATCAGATGTGACGTCTGGAGTGTCACGGTGCAGACACATTGTTGTCCTGCTCTAAGCAAACACTCTTCCTCCGACTGTCCTCACTTCCTCCCCTGCGTCCCCGCTTTAACCTCCCCCCGCGGCGCGCTCCGCTCTCTGCTCGGCTTGGAAAAGTTTGGCCAAGCACGTTCACGAGTTTGTGATTTACTCGTTTGCTTTTATTGACCCGCTGCAATATTAAGTCTCTTGGCAAGCATCTGAGTGTTTTAACTGTCAGCTCCACAGAAGAGCAAATTTGTTTTTTTGCCCCGTTGTGTTTCACAAGTGTGCGCCTGGCACCGCTCGCAGGCTCACTGGCGACAAACAGAGGTCAATCTTCCAATTGTGATGATGAATAGAGGCCTGTCTGCACGCCCTGATTAAATGTTTTTCTAACTTAAAGCTGGCTGTCATTGTTGTGTCCTCTCAAGTTTCACACACACCAATTTGCCGGTTTATCATGTGCACCTTTGAAAACAAAAGAGCCGTGACTGCCGTCCAGAACAGCAGACCTGAAACAAATCGCTTATTCATGTGGATGAAATGTTCTGAGGTGTTGAATCAACTTTGTGTCAAATCTGTGTCTGTGTCTGTGTCTGTGCTGTTGTTGTTGTTGTTGTTGTTGAATGTTGTCACCATTTGGCCTTAATGCTGTCAATGCAGCTGTTACTTTTAACTTACTGAACTTAATCAACAGAGTTATTTCTCTATGACTTTTGGCTTTTTATTCAGCAGGCATAAAATAACCACAGCTGTCGTTCTAAAATATAAAGTCTGCAGGTGAACTCGTAATTATAAAATATATTTTAAATATATATATACTTAGAAAGAAACCAGGGAGACTGAGCAGAAATCTTAACCTGTCACAGTCACTATTCAGCACCCCAGGATATGGGCCACATTTCAGATAAACTCAGACAAAAGATGAGCATGGGTTTCATCTAATATTAGACAAATTTAAATGTATTGTTTCTGATTGTCAACTTATAAATTATGAGCATAATAATAGTTATTAATATCTAAAAGGTTTTGCTAATTTATGAAATAGACTAAATAAATGTGGTTTATGGGCAAAATGGAGAATATTTATGACTGTTGTCACCATGTTTTAGACCTATGTTCATATTTACCAGATCAGTTATGTCTTAGACCTATGTTCATATTTACCAGTTTGGATGAAGTGACTAGTTGAAGAATAATCATCCAATTACTGACTAATGTTTAACCTGAACTTAAAGTGAACTTTTCTGTAGAAAAACAACAGGGCCATGGATTTCCATATCCATAATTTGGACCACAGGTTTTTCTAAGATGCAGCCCACATTTTAATACTTGGACGCAAAATTCAATCTTCTAATGGACACTACATTTTAGAAGTAATTACATATGCGTACAAGAGTACGAGGGGTGGGCAACTTTTTACTTGATTTATAATGTCTGCTAACAATTAGCCTAAGCGTTTGTAGTCTTCTGATGTCAGATTTGGGAAATTACAATCCGGTTTAGAGGAAAATGGTCAATAAATTATGACAGGAGGTGATATAATGATGTAATCCTGACAGTTTGGTAACAGCCTGGTGACATTAACATGACAAACATGATGTCATGTCCATCTAAAACGACCATGTCTTCAACTCTGTCTATGATGCCCGTCATCAACATTACATGTCCGTAGCACAGATTTTTCCATTTGGCTAATCTGCATCAACGCATGAGAAAATAATAACATTGTCATGCTGCAGGTAACGTAGCTCAAGGAGGTTTTCAATCGGATGCATTTCTATTAAAATCCGACACGACGAGTGCGTGTTTGAGGAGACGGGAAAGAAAGAATGATGCTTCTGTCACATCCCTGGAGCCTCTCGTGATTTTGTGAAGAGCCACAAGGAAAATCACAATATCTACACTTGTGCCTCTGAGAGAGAATAGTCGTTAGTGGCACATCCACAAGAGGTCACTTGACAGCACAACAGACCAAATACACACAGATCATTAAAACAAGTGGCCAGAGCTGTTTTCTACCAGCGAGAACAGTCTCCTGTGTGCTGCCTCTTCATTTTTAACAGACATTTCTGGGCATTTTTAGCCTTCATTAGGAAGAACAGAAAGTCTTAAAAGACTGAGAGAAAGGACAAGAGAGAGAGAGAGAATGAGAGAGAGAGAGAAATGGAGGCAGAGACAGAGAACAAATAGAGTGAGAGACAAAAAGAGCAAAAACTCAGCAAAGGATCATCCTGAGCCTGAGGGGCTCCAGCTGTGCCAGGTGAGCTATCCGGCGCCCCCTTCTGTGTCCCCTGTTAGCGTTCCTCTTTTATTAACCAAGTTTAGAGGGTTGTGTTTTTTGCCGTGAGCTAAATTGGAGCTGGGGTTCAAACTCATCCGGCGCTCTCTGACACTCTTCGCTGAGACTCACTCAGGTGTTTTGTGTGGCGCAGTAGAGATGACTACAAATGCCCAGTTCACATTTTTTGATTTATTGTGCCTCTCCGAGGCAGCCCCTTCCTTCAAAGGAGGAGATTTGGTGACCAGGCAAATGTCATATTAAATCCCTACAGGCATAATAAACGGCAGCAGCAGTGAGTGAGAGGTAATCACCTCTCCTCCAGAGCTCTTCAGTAAAACACGCCAGCAGGAAAAACTCCACGGATGCTGACCGTGGAAGACTGCAGCTTCTCTGAGGCTTGGAGCTGTGAGCAGATGCATGCATATGGAAATGGAAATGGAAATGGAAATGGAGGCTGTGGTCTCTGCAGCTCATGTATTCATGTACTACAGGTACTACAAACGTCCACACAGAGGCCCTGATGTCCAACCACATACAGTAAACATGTACATTATGAGCTTTCCTTACACGGTGTGTTTTACGTGGACGGTTTAATAGTAATGAGACCTTTCACAATAAGAGAGGACAGGAGTAAGTCGAGGGTGAGTGAAGAAAAACGGTGAGAGGAAGACAACATGTGTCTTAGAGGAAAAGAAGGGAGGGAAGAAGGAGAGAGAGAAAGAATGCATCTCTCCATCTCTCCAGCCCTGGGCAGCGTTGTTTGCCAATCTGCTTCTTCGTGTGTGTGTGTGTGTCTGCGGGCATGTGGGAGTGGTTTGCGTGTGTGTCTGCGGGCATGTGGGAGTGGGAATAACAAATGGCAACAGTGCCACCTACTGCACATACTTCATTTGGAGATTTAATTTTTCTGAAATTTGAGTCCATTGTGTGAGACGTGGAAGATGGATCACCGATAAATATCCGGAGCTAAATTCAAACCCTGGGCCTCAGGAACAAACTGCATCTGCTTGATTTCGACTGGTTCTGCTGACGACCAAAGAAAAGGAGCTGTATGCAGATGAATATGCAGATGTGCTTTATTTTTGTTGCCCGGGTACGCTGTTGTTGCACAGCACTGCAACTTTGAGCATCCACTGTTGGCTGGATGCTGCGGAGGCTGGACTCTTACACTACACACACTACGGGTGTTTCAAATCACCTGAGATATATGATAGTAAATGATAATAAAGCCCAGTGGAGAATGGACAAGGGAGCAACATTTCTAAACTCCAAAGTGTATGTATTGAAATTATAATGATCGACCTACAACTGGTGATACACACTGGCCAGTTGAACACAAACCTGATATACTCACAGGAATTGAAGAAAGACACACACGAACATCTTCTTTAACAGCTCTGAGACGCTCCTTTTTTAGTTTGATGACCATCTGCTGCCACCTAGTGGAAGAGTTTATTAGTAAATACATAATGCTTTAAGGACAAATTAAATGTGATTATTTTCCCACAGTACACCTGATAAAATTGATTTTTATTTATGTTTTCTGTGACTTTGCCATTAAGTAATTTAAAGTATTGACATACATGTCCAGTTATATATTTTGATGTCCTAAAAATGAATTTAAGAAATTGGATTTACCTTTCTTTTTTTTTAATTTGCTGCTTGGGAAAAAAGAAAATCCAGCTTCTTAGCCTTCCTCCACGGTCAGATCATCGGTCTCCGACTCTCCTTCTCCTTTACTACATCCATGAATCTCCTCTAGGGTCGTTCTCTTCCTGCGACCTGGCAGCTTCATCTCCTACAGCCTTTGTCCTGTCTTGTCCCGTCCATGTCTCTGCTATAAAACATGTTACATCCTGGTCATTCCAAAAAAAAACTTTATTAACATCTCCAGCTAAGCTTTCTGTTTTTTTAAGACATTCAACGTCTTGAAAACGACATCCCATGACAGATCTCACTATAGATTATAATGTCATCCGCAAACATTTAGACACTGTCCATCGCCAGTGTAGACAAAGCAAACAAACTCTGGGTGTGTACTGAAATCCTTTTCACCTTCAGGTTAGCTAAGCAGCAACTCCCATGTTTATCATTGACGGTCTTCATTAAGACGTAGTCGTTGACTCTGCGGCTACATCGCTAAATCACATCGACTAGTAGTAGTAGTCCGCACTATAAGGCGCACCTAAAATCTGCTGTGCATCCGGTTGCTTTGCAAGAAATCATCCGTTTTAAAAGTACCGTATTTTCCGCACTATAAGGCGCACCTAAAATCTGAAATTTTTTTCAAAAGCTGTCTATGCGCCTTATAATCCGGTCCGCCTTATATATGGATCAATATTGAGCCGCGACAGGTCTCGCAACTTAAGGTAAGCAGCCACCGACTCCATTTTCCCCCGTATAAGAAGAAGTGCGCGGTGCATGCTGGGATATATTAAACAGCGAATCATTTTCATTTGTGTGTTTGTGTAAAGACCCTGAAATGGCTCCTATTAAGAGACACGCTTACAACGCAGAGTTTAAACTCAAGGCGATCAGTCACGCAGTAGAACACGGAAATAGAGCAGCAGCAAGAGAGTTTAACGTTAATGAATCGATGGTGCGGAAGTGGAGGAAGCATGAGGATGAGCTGCGCCAGGTAAAGAAGACTAAACAAAGTTTCCGTGGCAATAAAGCGAGATGGTTACAGTTATTATGCTATTGCTTTATTGTTATTGTGTTATTGGAAAAGTAAAATGTTATACCTTGCTGTTGTTAAAAGATGTTAAAGATGTGTCACGAAAATGCTAATGCTGTACCTCAGAGAAAATAATAAAACAGCTGTTTATTCATTTTGGGAGTGAATGGAGTTGTGGAAAGCTTGTTTTTAATCTATTAATAAAGTTTGACTGACCTATCTGACTGTTTTGTGGACATTCTCTTTAGCGCGGCACCATCTAATGGTTGCATAACGTAACTACAGCCTCTACTGTAGCGCCTTATAATGCGGTGCGCCTTATATATGGAAAAAGTTTTAAAATATGTCATTCATTGAAGGTGCGCCTTATAGTGCGAAAAATACGGTAATCACCACAGTAGGCTAACAGCTAGATGCTGTGCACTGCCAACATGTCAGACTGGAGCTGAGGGTCAGGCAGGGCTACACCAGTCGTCCGACATCATCCTGCCCACAGAAGGTGAGCAGCAGCGTGTGTCACCCACAGCTGGGAGCTGCCCAGTGAAGCCATGCTCTTTTAGCAGCTGAGGAAGTGGAGAACTCGAAGGTTCTGTGAACGGCCCACGGCCACTGTAGTGGCAGCAGCGTGGAGGAAAGAGCACTTCTCCATCAGGGCCTGCAGGAGTTTACAAGCAAGTCAAAAAGGATTAAGCACTTTGGTTTTTTTTTTCCTGTGGATCAGGAGCTGGACTAACAAGTCAAACCTCGGGGTCATGTGACGGGAGATTCTAGCTGTGAGATTTACCTGAGTTATGTTTCAGTTTACAGTTACTAACAAAAACAGCTTTGACTTCACGACGGAGGTTAATCTGCAGCAGATGGTTGAATAGAGATATTTAACCTTATCTTTTACTCATCACTAATGGATTTAATGAAACCGTTTCCAGGCTCCATGTGGCAGATGCTCAGACTAAGAAAACAAAGGGTTTGGAGATAGTTTTGCCAACATTTTCAGAAAGAGGATGAGTCAAGAACACTGATGTGCTGTTGTTAATGTCATGGAGCTCTTTAACAATATTTTCATTTACAAAAGCTGTTTCCAAGCTGTTGTATTTTCATCACCTTATTAATATTCTTTTATTTCTTTCTTCCTTTCCTGAGACTAGTGCTGTTGGAATATTCTTCAGGTGAATCAGGATAAGTCACTCCAGGGGTCTGTGTTTGGGCTGGAGGTCTGTTTGGTAGGAGTCAGGTCTGTTCAACCAAAGAAAACATGGAGTCCAGTTAATCCTGATTAATCAAAATACATCAATTTACTACATTTGACAGTTTTTTATTCAACACATTCCTGACAGGACAGACCAGTAACAGCAGCTCTATGAATGTGTTCCTCACCTCATAGCTTCATAGAGTTTGACTAGCTGTCAGTGTTGGGTATGAACTAGTTAAAACTGGTTATCAACTGGTTAGGGTTAGTTTTTGGACCAACGTTCTAGAGATAAATGGAAGTGAAAGAACTAACAGAAACAGCAGCACACACCAGTGTATGTCTGCTAGATTCACCAGTGCATATGTTTGCCATTCTACTCACTCTCTCTCTCTCTCTCTCTCTCTCTCTCTCTCTCATACACACACACGAGCACAAACTTTTTATGGCGTTTTCCCTTCACAAAGCAGGTTGCTGACAGCAAACCTGCCTTCAGCAGATAAACTTTATCATTGGACACACACCTGTGTTTGTGTACAGCCACACACACACACACACACACATACACACTGGTATAGCCTCAGTCTCAGTACTCTTGACAAGGTAGACACCTGCACCTGCTGTGTGTGTGTGTAAATGTTGTTAGAGAGCCTGCGGTGACAATAACACACTCCTGGCTTCAGAACAAGCAACACACTGTTCGACACCAACAAACACAAAACAACAACAACAACAAATGAAGACAAACTAAATTCTACTACAACGAAGAGACAATGAGAGAACAAGAGTTCCCAAAGACTGTGGTTCTTAAAACAGCCATCATCCATACAGTCCAGGGTCAACAGCTGGAGTTAAAGGTCAAATGTAGTCATGTAGTAAACAGAAGTTATAAACAAACAAGTTTAGCTTGTTAAAAATATTTTCAGTCTCTATGATATTTAGCAGCAGTGTTTGCCCTGATGCCTCAGCAGCAGAGGGCAGTCTGCTGAACTGCAGTGTCAGTTTGACTCTATGCAAAGATAAATCACCAGAAAAAAAGTCTCAGTTTTACTGGAAAACCAGGCCTAAAATCAATGTATTCAATCACATTCTCCAGCACGTGTTGAAGGCTCTGCTGCAGTGGAACGTGGTTTGACCTGTGGAAACACTTCTGGATCAATCTGGAAAGCATCAAACTCCCACTTTTCAACTGTGGTCCTTCTTCCCAAAAGCAGAGTCAGTCTGGAGAGTGAGTGGACGCGAAAAGAAGAAGAACTTCAGTTCTCTCAGTCCCTCAGTGGGCTCTGGTACCAGAACACACTCTCTTCAGGTAAGAGGTTCAACAAAGAGCAGCTACACTAAAAAAAAAACACACACTCTTAGACTGAAATTCTCTAAATCACGTACAAAACATAGCCGACTGTTAAACTGCAGTACTGTTTAACAGGAAACACTGTTCATGTGACTGCATTTAGACCAAATGTGCAGGGCTTTAAAATGAGTCCATCTACTGCCACAGTAGCGTAGGTCTGGGCCTTGACATCACAGGTCAACCAGATACAGACAAGGGGAAATAACGTATGCAGCCTGCTGTGACAGAGCTGTTGCTGTCAATAAATCAATGTTTGTACACTGGGGGAAATACAATACAGTTATTCAAGTGTGAGGTTTAGCTCTGACAACATCTCCTAACTCTAGAATCTTCTTACTGCCGAAACCCAACCAGCCTACAGCGCCCCCTGGGAGCTTTAGGATTGTTGAAATGTTACAGCACACATCACAGAAAACACAACAGATTTAACCACTTAGACAAACAAGGCCCAGTGACCGTGTCCACGTCTCAGTCTGTCAGTGTGTATCGTCTTCTTCTTCTTCTTCTCCTCAGATTGTTGAAGCAGACACTTTGAAAGGTACAACATTTATCTCCAATAAAACAAGCAGGTACAAATGAGTCTCACCGTGCAGCTCATTGTCAGTCTGAGTGACACTGCAGAACCCACTGGAACGTAACATGTAATTTATATGACATGGTGTCCGTATGTCCCATTACCCAAAAAGATGGGGAAACTCTGCTGGGATGATCATGTGTATCAGAACCATCTGTCAATCTGCTGATCGCTGCTGATTCCAGCAGGAGGAAGTGGCCACATGCTGCTCTGGAAGAAGCTTTCATTAATTAATTTGTTAATTTATTAACTTAAAAAAAAAGTTTTCTCTTTAAATGGAAAATGCTGTTATAACTCCTCTGGAAAATAGGACGTCTCAACATTTACTGTTGTTTGACTTTACAAACAGAATAAAGTGGACTTTTTTTTTTACTGATTTTATATTTCCTGGTTAACGTAAATGTCATCAGGTTGTTTCCATTCTGTGGTACACATATTTTGAAGCCTAGTACTCCCTAGTACAGCAGCCTAAACAATGGGTACTCTGTGTGTGTTGACAGTGGAGCTGAGCTGACCGTGGTGCTGATTTTACTCCTGCTATTCTTTTCTCCTGAGTTTGCAGACATGTGTTCTAATCGGTATTGAATACAGGGCGATGCTCATCCCTCATGGGAAAATCCAGCTCTGCACTTTTCCCAGAATCAGCACGCTCACACACTCACACTCCCTGCATAATGTTTGGAGGAAAACCTTATGTTTAAGCTAAAGTGTCCCCAAGAGTTCCAGTGTCACTCAGACGCACAGCAGCGATAAACGCCCGTCACTCTGCCTCTGTCACTGTTCTGACCCCCCCTGTCAGTCACCCTCTTTATGTCTACTTCCTCTCACAGCAAGACAGAGTGGCGTCACCCAGGCCCCACCAGCAGGGGGCCTCTCTTTTAAAAGAGTTAGAATAATAGCTACATATGGAAGCTATGGAGTGCCAGAGTGAGGCTTGAAAATACCATACATTAGAGAATCCTTCATAGCTGCACACACACACACACAGATACAGACAGGAAGTGACATCAGCTGCAGAATGCTAACATCCTTCAAAGATGCTGGTTCATCAGCTGATCTATCTGCAGATTTATACCCACACAGTCTGTGTTTGAACACATGGAAGTCCTCAGGCACAAATCTCCTTCTTTCAGCACTCACACCACCAGCCGGCCAGGACGGCTCTGCTCTTCTTGTTAGGACACATTTATTTGGCCCAACTAGACGGTGGTCTCGTGTGGACCAGTGATCCTGGGAGGCCTGTTTTAGACAAGGTCCTAACAAGGAGACAAATGCAAGAAGCAAACCTCCATCTCTTTCTATTTACACACACACACACACACACACACACACTTTTATTACAGTGCCACAGTGACTCTAGC